TTACGCTACAACCCTTCTATCAATCAATAACCTAAATGAAACAGTGCATGGCCATACCCTACCGTCACTAAATCGAATCTTGGAAGGGGTGTGATACTCTACGAGTACTCATAAACCCTTTTCATTTTCATTTTCTCCCTTCATTTTCATTTCCTTTCTTTTTTTTTACCTCCACTCAAGCTTAATCCCCAATTCCATCTCACCTAATGCTAGCCCGAGGCGAGCAAAATATCATGTATCATAGAGTAATACAAGATAGAGCATCTGTACAACATTCCTAATGCATATGAATTAGCATAATCTTACACAAAGTACTAGTACTAGAGCATCCACACAATTACCTCTCTATGGGACCCTGTACTCCTCCGAAAAAAAGAGAGAAAGAAAGAAAGAAAGAAAAGACAACCATTTTGCTCCTACCGCGAGAGAGAGTTTGGGGTCAGATTACAGTACAAGTACACTGCCGGTAGTACATCATGATAGATGGGATCAGCAAGGAGAGCTGGTTTGCTTACTTTGATGTCTGCGAAGTTTTTTATGATTCAGTTTAGACCCCCACCCCTTACCCAAAAGATTGTCGGTCACAGCAGGGGCTTACAAAACCTGTTATATGGCATGGCCACATGTAGCCCCGATTAGAAACCCGAGAGGATAGTATAGCCCACCAGGTCAATCCAATCCATGTCTGTATCATGGCACTGTGCCATGTGTTGATCAGTCAGATCTATTGGCATAGTCGATACTTCGGCAAGGGAGAAACCAATGCTGGGCAAATCTAATTCCTTTTAAGGGATAGCAGATACCTTCCTGGGGGGTGTCAGTCATCGTAGTTGTGGAAAATGTGTAGGCAAGAATGGGGATGGGCCAGTGGGCTGTAGGCAAGGAGGGAAGATGGGAAGATGGAGAGGGCAACAGCATAGACGGTGGAAATCCTTTTACAAAGTGTCAGTAGTTGTAACGATCCCTCCTTGGATAGTTAGTTCTTGGCGATGGGGAACGATACTTCTCTCCTTCTTCTGTTGCTTTCCTTAGTCTTACGGTAGTGCTAGGCCTTTGCCTACGCTACGCTACTTATAGTACAAAACCCTTGTCTTCTATCGGAAACGCCTATCGTAAGCTTTCACTAACTCTTCTTCGTGAAGAGCTTTCCTCAGCATAACTATAAATGTTCAAATAAAGATAATGATTGTAAAGGGGTTTTATATTCATCAAAGTAATAAGTAGGAAAAGTACTTAAAACAAAATGTGAAGAACCTATCCTCCTCGCCCACATTGGCCTCCTTATATAGTGTTCTTCCCACCTGTAGTCATGTGACCCAAAGTGGTTACATGTGCGAAACTAAATCATAACAAACCAGTCATGTGACTAAAGTAGTCACACACTCAAAACCCATGACCTCATAGCAAGGTCATGTGGAAAAACTCATAAACCAATCATAACGCAATAAACTAGTCATATGACTCGACTGAGTCATATGTGTGAAACCCATGACCTCATAATGAGGTCATGTGCAAAACATAAATCATATGCGCAAGGCATACCCGCAAGGCACACTCGCAAGGCATACTCAACAGGTGCATTTCTCATGACTCATAATTGAGTCATGTGCGAAACATAACAAATCATAACATAATTAGTCATACGTCCCAAATGGGTCATATGCATGAAACAATAACATACCTAGGACTCATAATCATGAGTCATGTGAAAACCTTTTCCATGCTAAGCCATGTTGGTGACATTAGCTCCTCTCCCCTTAAGCCTGAGTCCCATCAGGCTTTATCCTCAAGTTTCAATAGTTCCTGTCCTGCCGAATGCATTGACCTCCGAAGCCTATTGAACTAGTCGTCCGCTTCCCGCCATCTTATCCTCATTGTTTCTAAGGTGTAGTTCGCCATCTCAATTGAGACCTGTTAACTCTTGTTTAGCTGTCTTAGCTCTGTAATCATTTTTTCATTTACTAAGATTGTGGCCTCAGCCTGGCCAAGTTGTTCCCAGAGTCCTCTGATTTGCCTGTACCGGCTTCTGGTATCCGGTTCTGTTTTCGTAGATGAATTTTGGACTCCCTCCTCCCTGGGCCTCATCCTCGAGGTCCTAGGCCTCTGTCCTCTCATGGGGTCCTTTCCATTCAACTTTCTTTTTTCTATCCTTCTGCGGGTAGTATCCCACAGTGATTTTCTTCATCCTGTACATCTTGCACGTGTTGTTGAAGTACTGTTTCCAGTACTTTAGGGCATCATCCAGGCACGGATAATACTTTTAGTATTCTCTCGGGAACCACCCCGAGCCTTCGTTGTCTCCATAGTGTGTGGGACATCCATCATCGTAGTATACCGTTCATAACATAGCATTATGCTGTGCTTGTTTTTCCCTTTCCTTGAGTTCTTCGTTGGTCAGCTCCATGAATGAGTATTCGGGGCTAGTTGGTATAGTTTGGCGTGAGCTATGGCCCCAGCTCTCGTGAGGTTGCAATAGCACCGGAGGCTTTCCCTCGTATTTTTCTTACTTGTATGTGATCGTTACCTGGGCCAGCCTTGTCTGTGTATTGTGGGTGGAAGGTTGAGATGGCATCTTGTGAGTGTTCGAAGTTGTGTGTGGAGTACCAAGTTTTATCGTATTCTGGTGAGTAACCAGTCCACTTGGCTCAGTATTATAGACTTTCGTAGAAGAAGTGAGAATCAACTATCTCGTCAAGTTCGTATTCTGGTTCTCAGTTAAGTTTGATCAAAGGAGAAAGAATAATTGTTTGTAAGAGAAACCTATTGTTGCTGTGTAATTCAAGGAGTAAGATGTGGAATGTGTTGTGTAATTGCATTGAGGGGGGAAGGTCAAGTTTATAAGCTCAGTTGCCCACTCTTTCCAGTATCTTGAATGGCCCGATTTCTTGTAGTCTAATTTCTTTGATGGTCGTGTTGTATGGATACTGCATGGTATTAGCCATACCATATCTCCCAGTTGTATGTTTGGATCTGGTCTTCGGCGTTTATTGTATTGTTCTTTTTGCTGTTGTTGTGCTTGACTCATTTTGTATTGTAATGTCTCGTGTTGTTTTCCCATGTCTGTTTTTTCCGGTACTATACCGTTAATAGTATAATATAAGGTCTGACTTTGTAGATATTATCTGTAAGTCGTGAAGAGGGATGTCGTGCCAATTGTTTCTTGTTTACCATTGTTGTATGCGAATTCAGCCATTGATGGTAGTTTGTACCAATGATCTTGTTGGTAATTGATGTAGACCCGTAAATATTGTTCGAGTATTGGGTTTACCCGTTCCATTTGTCCATCCGTTTGTAGGTGAAATGCTGTGCTCAGTCTGTTTTGTATCCCCATTTCTCTGGTTACTTTTTTCCACAGTCCTGATGTGAACAATGTTCCTCAGTTGGTAATGATATTCTTTGGGAGGCCATCAAGTTGGAAGACCTCTCAGAAGAATGTTGGTATAAAATCTCTCCTGTCCATATCTTTTCTGACTGGAATGAAATGACTCATTTTGGTCAGACAATCCACCACGACCAGGATGCTATCACATTTCTCCAATAATGGTAGGTCCATAATGAAATCCATAGTAATTGTTTCCCATGGTCGTTCAGGAATTTTGTTCAGGAATTTCGTTCGATTTCAGTAATCTGTATGGTACGTGTTTAGCCATTTTCGTCCTTTAGCATATGTCGCAATTCTTGACATATCTTTTGACATCTTCACACACTCTCAGCTAATAGAATAACCTCGTAATGAATTCTGTGGCTTTCGCTGTTCCTCCGTGTCCTGCCGTTGAGATATTGTGGTGTTGTAGAATGATGTCAGTTTTTATCTTTTCTTCTTCAGGAATCCATTGTTTTCCATTGTACCTCATGTTTCCATTCTCCCATTGGTATAAACTCAGAGCACTTCCTTTCATCTCCTTTTTTCCTTCCTCCAATGCTTCTCTTATTGCCTGAATTGTTTTGTCTCCTTTGTTTGCCTTCTCGATTTCTTTTTCTTCTATTAATGTGAATTGGATAACCTCCATTGCCTTGAAGTAGGTCTTTGATAATAATGTTCATGTTTTTTGTTTAATCCTTTCGTCTTCTTTTGTTTGTGGTTTGTTGGTTACAATCCTTATGAGAGCGATTGGCTTTCCGCTCTCTTTGCCTGGTTGGTATTCAATTTTGAAGTTGTATTTGCTGAGGTATTCTATCCACCTTATCCGACAGTCGTTCAATTCCTTCATGGTCATGAACGGGACCAGATTCTTGTGGTCAGTTAGAACTCAGACCAGATGGTCATTGTTCAGAATGTATTTCCTCTATTCCTTTAATGCTTGAACTATTGCTAATAGTTCTTTGTTTACAATATCGTAGTTGCATTCTGCGGGGGTCATTATCTTAGATTGGTAAGATACTGGGCTCTATTTTCCGTCTTTGCATTGTTGCGATAGTATGCCTGAATATCCATACTTCGAGGCATCCGTTTCAATCGTTGTTTTTCGGTTTGGGTCGAAGTGTATCAGTATTGGTACTGATATCTGATGTGTCCTGATGGCATCTTATGCTTTTTGTTCTGTTTCTTCCCATTCCCATTTCTAGTCT